ATTTTATTGATTTTTTACAGAGAGGAAGGGAGAGGGATAGAGAGTTAGAAACATTGATGAGAGAGAAACCTCGATCAGCTGCCTCCTGCACACTCCCCACTGGGAATGTGCCCGCAACCAAGGTACATGCCCTTGACTGGAATCGAACCTGGGACGCTTCAGTCTGCAGGCCGACGCGCTATCCACTGAGCCAAACTAGTTAGGGCTCTGCTTCATATATTTATTGTTTACATTTAATTGACTTTGTTTAGGATAGTCAGCAAAATTTTAATCTTGTAGCTACTTAAAATGTGTTTCAGCAGTATGTTCAGGAAATGCAAATAAACAATATTCGCCTATCTGTGCACCTGAAACTAATACAAAATACTATTGAATGTAAACTGTAACTGAAAAATTAAATTTAAAAAATCAATATATGCAGAAGCAGGAGAATACTTCGGAAAATAATTGGCTTTGGAAAAACTATGCATTATAATTAGTTCAAAATGGCAGTAAATGGCTTTGATTAAAAGAGGCAACAGAAACAACTATTTTTAAAGGCTTTATTTAGAGATGTTTAATTTAAAAATACTGTAATAGGAAACTTAAGTGTTTTTCCTTTCTTGATTATTCAGTTCTGAGCTACTGTCAAGTATGGAAAATCCCTGCCATTTTGTACTTGTGTTATACTGACGTGATGAAATTAGACCTCATTACAGCTGAGGCTTTTAAGCCTGTGCTTTCTTCCAGAAGCTTGAAAGGTTTGGTGAAGGTAAGACTTTATTTAACTCATTGACTTTAATAGCTGACTTACTATCATGAACAGGCTTAATAACAAACATAAATGTGTGGTGTCAACTCATAACTTAAGTAGCACTTTGAGATCCTTTTTCCTCAAAGCTTCCTAACCTGGTGGTTGGAATTTGATTGGCACCTTCTCTTGCAGATATCCCCCTGTAACTTGAGTGTCTTGTTCGTGTGTGATAGATCAGTGCCAGGCGTTTAAATCCCAGGTGGCTGTGTAGAAAGATGGTTTTACTATTCGAGAAGTTTCTTTAACTAATTAATTTGGAAGGTTAAATTTTGAGAAGGCATTTGATTAATTTAGAATGAATTAATTTGGAAGGCGGTAGTTTTTAAGGAGCATATGTATCAAATTATAACATTTATTCACCTAAATTTGTGTGGGACTAGATGTGTGAAGATGAGGTAAACCTGTTCCCTGCTTTCAGTTTGTATACATACCTGTGGGTTCTTCCCCAGAAAAATACCAATGGACGTTTACACAGAGAGTCCTGCCTGCAGTTTCAGGTAGGTTAGGAACTCCCCTCCTCTTCCTAAGAGATGTGCTGAGAATCCATGGACTCCCAATTTGAAAACAGCTCCCTCAAAGGGATGAGGGTATAACAACATTGTTCCACAGCCCTGTTTTGTTCAGAATGGCCATTCGTGTTAAGGCAGCTTTTCTGGTTGGTGTTAGCTCATCTCACAGGTCTCATAATTAGTTTGCTTCCTAGTGCATCCATTTTTTTGTGGAAACAGGCCATGTTTTTTCATTTTGGTTTCCCAGTTTGTCACAAGCATGGCATGTAGGAGATGGTCCTCAATAACCATTTGTTGAATTAATAAGAGTAAAACTAAGACTCAAGTATAATTGAGGCACTGTCAGTGTTCCGTTTCTGCGGATGGCAGGGCCGACTTTTTGTGTCTCCATTTCATGTCAGGGACTTGAGCATCGAGGACATTGGTGGCCTGGGAGGTCCTGGAACCAATCCCCTGCAGATACTGAGGGACCACTGTGGGCCTTCCAGATCCGCTAGAGGAATGGGTGCTCTTTCTGACAGATTGAGCTACCTTATATATGGCATCTCTTTCGGAGTGTGTGCTCACGGTTTCGTGTGCTTCTTGGTTAACTGATTGGCTCTTCCCGGGCCGGGCTGTTCTGTCTGTATTGTGGTACGGTGCTCAGCGCACAGGCACTCCAGAACTTTGGACTTGTTCTGTAAATCATGTGTTATGCAGTGTTTAGGTCAACTTTTAGGTTTTAAAATATTCTTTGAAAAGGAAATTTATTTATTTTTAAATATTTTTTTTATTGATTTTAGAGAGGAAGGGAGAGGGATAGAGAGATAGAAACATCAATGATGAGAGAGAATCATTGATTGGCTGCCTCCTGCACGTCCCCCACTGGGGATCGAGCCTGCAACCCAGGCATGTGCCCTTGGCTGGAATCGAACCTGGGACCCTTCAGTCCGCAGGCTGACGCTCTATCCACTGAGCCAAACCAGCTAGGGCTGAAAAGGAAATTTAAATAACTTTTTAAACCTTTTTAGTTCTGCATTAAAGATAAAGATTTGTGGGAGGGAGGGTGAGCCAGGTGGCTGTTTTGAAGGTAGTTTCTTAGTGACCACATATAGTCATCCCGAATTCATAATCTCTTTGATCTAAAAGTGCTACTTGGTCCACATACTGGATTCTCTTGAGTGGCTACTGCGAGGACCCCACAGTGCTAGGTGGTACACCCCAGTAGGGCCTTTGGTTTCTTAGGTATTTCATGCCAGGCAACAGTGGGCATTATGTGTGCCAGGCAAGGGGAAGAGTAGGTCATTAGGAGAGGCTGCACCAGGGATGTGGCACTTCATCTGGATTTGAAAGATGAATGAATCCTAGTGCACAGGGCAGCAGTGTGAGCCCAGAATGGGCAAGCTCAGGGAGCATTGAGGATAATGGTGGCAGCGAGGTATTTTTATTTTTTATTTTTTTTATTTTATTGATTTTTTACAGAGAGGAAGGGAGAGGGATAGAGAGCTAGAAACATCGATGAGAGAGAAACATCGACCAGCTGCCTCCTGCACACCTCCCAACGGGGATGTGCCCGCAACCAAGGCACATGCCCTTGACCGAAATTGAACCTGGGACCCTTCAGTCCGCAGGCCGACGCTCTATCCACTGAGCCAAACCGGTTTGGCGGCAGCGAGGTATTGGGCTGCAGAGGGAAGTCAGCTCATGGGGAGATGGGC